ATTGAAATATTTTTTGTTTGCCCCCCCCCCATATTTACCTGCTTCTTCTTCCCTACATTTAGATGCCTATATGCACAGAGCAAATACTAAATTGCTCCCCTGTCACCCTCAATAGATCCTCCACATATATCCACACATTGGGTCCCTTACACACACACGCTACCTCCACGAACCAAGGATTTATTAAGATTTATGCCCGCCCTGGGGAAATGAATACATGAGTGAAGTAAGGCTTAAAAGAACTTTATAATAACTTTTTTGTTTTAATAAATTAAAGCAATAGTATTTACATGTTATATGTTTATGTATACTCATGCATTCCCTACTGTAAGACTAGAATAGACAGTGGAGGATTTATTTGAAAATTCATGGATCATCTCTGCATAATTTTAAAACAATTAATTCAGTAAATGCAAACTTGTTGTTTTTTTAAAATCTTATTAGCATAGGATAACAATAAGTTATCTTGGTTTTTTTTCTGTTCTAAGACTTTTAGAGAGAGTTCCAATTATTTGAACTATATTTCATTCCCATCTAGAGATGGGAAGTGATATGATAAATCATTTGTCAGTGGGAACAAAAAAAGGAAAGTAGTAGCAGGGATATTCAGTAAGGTGAGCATTCAAAGTGAAGTTTAGATTTAAAATTTAAGACCAAAATATCCAAACTGCAAAAATGTCAGCTATACTTCCAGTCTAGCTACTTTGGCCTATAAAATTTTATATTAACTTTGAATTCTCATTTTAGTGAATAACCCAATTAGATTTTTCAACCAGTAGATGGAGCTGTGGTATTACAAACTTCTTCCATTGATAATTAAAATTCATTAAAAATGGTTTTATCTATATCCCTCTCATTACCAAACAAGGTACAACTTTCGCATTCTTCCTGAGGTTTACTTAATTACTTCACACCCTCAGTTACCCTCTGAAGCGATGCTCTCACTTCTCCCCAACATTCCTTTTTCATTGTTTTGACCATTTACTTGTTTTGTTGTGCCTATGGTGCGCAATATAATACTGTATTCTATTCCTATTGAAAAATGGACCGGATTGATTTCTGAAAACAAATTGTACTGTACCTTGTATGCAATTCTCCTGTCTTTTTAATGAGGAATTACTTTTTTTTTTTACATATCTTTGCACAAAAGACTGAAGCCTCTGTGTTTCTATCATTTTCCTTGATAATGCCTTCCCAAATCTCAATTTTTAGTGTGCTGTCCAGTATGTCCTAAATGACTACTTTACTCTCCCCCCAACAACAACCACATTTCTTGTCAATGTTTCCTATATCCTCTGTTCCATTTATCTAATGTACCAGTTAAACACAATGTCTATACATACAGATGTAGAAATAGCAATCATAGCTCCTTACAGTACAGCTCACTCACAGGAATAAAAATGTAATTATCGATAATTATAAACTTATATTTATTAGTACCTCCAACAAATGCAATACATACACACAGACTGCTGAACAAACACACACAGACTGCTAAAAATATACATACTACTAAATACACACACAGAACGCAGTGTGTTTGTATGTGTGTGGTGGGGATAAAGGAGAAAATGTATATTTTATTTAAAATAAAAAAATGAAAAGCTATAGGTTTCCTCCCCCCCCCCCCCTGCTTTTTACCATTTACCAGGGGGGGGTGACTACAACCTTACAGGCCAGTGGTGGTCCAGTGGTAACAAGGGAAGTTTAGCCTGCAGGCTGCCTTCACTTCTCCCACAAACTCAGTGCTGTGTCGGAGCTTTGCCATGGTAATGTGCAGCAACGCTCCAACCTGCCTAGTCGCGGGAGGAACACAGAGCCTCCGGGGTCCTACCTCCCACCCACTCCCCTAATGTAGCACAAGTGAGCCGATGAGGGAGATCTTTGATTATTACTACACAACACACACAGTAAATGGCACTACTAGTGCAACAGCAGCTAATTACTTGCTAAACCCTGAATCTGAAACTTGGTTGTATGGCTCAAGTAATGAGGGATTACCTTATCTAGACCACACAGGACTGTCCTTACAGATAAGAGACTTCAGAAAACAAAGATAAGAAGATCCCTGTCATTGTTGTTTAAAGACATTGTTAAATGTCAGAGAGCCACATGAATCAACCATTACAAGGCTTCAAAACAGAATTCACGCTCACTGACAAACTGGTTCTCACAATATAGAAAAAGGCCACAGAGGGGAAAAAAGGGGAAACCATAATCAAACTGAAAAATGACTAGGAGACGCAATAGGTGGACTAACGTGTACATGTCCTGGCTGCGCTATGGCCATTAGGAGTTTTCGACTTGAAGAAGAACATAAACTGCTAAGTTTTGGAACATAGGTTCAGAGATGAAAAAGTGGTTGCTTTGCAATTATGCTGCTCTACCAGGGAATTATGAACAAAAGACCAGTAAGTAACCACCAACACAACTGTAAAACAGACAGTAACCTGCAAAAGATACAAATGTCAGATTAACCCCTTAAGGACGGAGTTCAATCATGATTTCCCATAATAAACCTCTTTCATAAAAAGTACACCCACACATCATTTTAAGGAGAAATAGGGCTTTCATTGTACAAATATTTATTAAATGAAAAAATTTAATATGAATTAAAATATATATATATATATATATATATATATATATATTCACACTAGTTTTTAACAGTCTGGGACACTAATAGTGATTTTCCTGTTTCTTTGACCTCAGAACAAAGTTAGAAAATAGAGCGGCAGAATACGTCACAGCCTATGATATAAATCGCATCAGTGATCACGTTACTCCGATCACAACAGATTAGCTGCTGGGGGCAAAAGTCATGGCCTAAAAAGTGTAGGGATCTCAGAAACTGCACCAAAAAAAGTCAGAAATAAAATAGGAATCCCAGGCTCAAATCCTAGTAGACCTTACCAGTATGTGTCGTTCGGCAAGACACCTGATTATATATCTGTCCACCTTAAATCCTTATAGATTGTAACCACACTTGAGCAGGGCCTTCAAATATCCCCTTTTCTCCAAATGTACAAAAACACTGGAATATGCTATATAAATATTAACAGCAAAACATCCACCCATCCTAGAGGGTGTAGCCATAAAGAAACTCTAGAATACTAGGAGATGACCATGTCATAGGCACAGGTACTTCGTCCGATAAGCAGTGAAAGAACCCATAGTTACATGGTATCTTTATAAAGACCAATTGCTTTAATAGTTTATACTTATGAAGACTGCAGTTTACTTTCATAGAGTAAAAAAACCTCATTAACAGTGGTATTACCAAACCACTAGTCTATGGTAGAGATTGGAAGGCCTGGAGCATAGAGAAGAGAAAAAAGGGGAGTAATGGGGAGACCGGGTCAAATGGGACTTTTTTTGACAATGATAAAGGCTTTTGACATGGTATTGACACTAATATAATTGGCTCTTTGCCAATGCCAATGCGTTTACATACTCCTGGCACACAATGTCAGTTACCTTATTTGCAATTGGTGCTGAAGCGCAAATCTTATGAGTGATTGGGATTACTCTTGCAGTCGAATTCTTTGAGGAGGGTTAGAGGATATCTTTTTGTATTTATTATGGTGATTTCTTAATTTTTTTGGTGCTTTTGAGGAAACTAGGGGGTTATGTATAGTAAAAAAGTTCTTACAAATAGACAGACCGTGTTTTTTTATAACAATTTTTTTTTTACATTTTAAAAATCTAATTTTGAATAAGCTGTACTTTTATTTCAAGCATAATACTTTTATATACACTACGTTTCATGTTTCCGGTGTAACAAAATTATTTTCAAATTTGCAGAACTACTTCACACTGCATTTATTTTTTAATTTTTCAGAAAATGTCAATAACTTTTTCCATGTCTTCAAAATTTCCAGACATTGAACATCTCTAGTCTTGTATTTAAAAGGAAAAAACTCTAAGTTATCAAATAAATGTCATATTATGCAAGTAGCTGGATTGTGATCCACACAGGCCTTAAAGGACCACTCTATGCACCCAGACCACTTCAGCTTAATGAAGTGGTCTGGGTGCCAGGTCCAGCTAGGATTAACCCATTTTTTTTATAAACATAGCAGTTTCAGAGAAACTGCTATGTTTACAAATTGGTTAATCCTTCCTCCAATTCCTCTAGCGGCTGTCTCATTGACAGCCGCTAGAGGCGCTTGCGTGATTCTCACTGTAAAAAACACAGTGAGAGCATGCGAGCGTCCATAGGAAAGCTTTGTAAATGGCAACTTCCATGGAGTACCAAGGCTGAATTTAAAATAAGACTAAAACATAGGTGGTGGATGGAGTAAACAATTATCTAGAGGGACTATTAAACACCATAAATAGAAAGGTTTTTAAGGTGAACATAGAAAATGTATGAATAGAAGGAAAGGAGGAGGATCGGCGAAGGAGAGCTCTCCGCCCAGCGCTGGAGAAAGGTAAGTTTTTACCCCTTTCCTCTCCCCAGAGCCGGGTGGGAGGGGGTCCCTGAGGGTGGGGGCACCCTCAGGGCACTATAGTGCCAGGAAAAAGAGTATGTTTTCCTGGCACTATAGTGGTCCTTTAAACTGTACATTTATAAACAATCTCAGGAAAATGACCAGCTTTGTGTGGGGCTTCTATTCTCCATCCAGGGAGATTAATCGGCTTAACCCCTTAAGGACACATGACGTGTGACATGTCATGATTCCCTTTTATTTCAGAAGTTTGGTCCTTAAAAGGGTTAATGTGACGAGCAGATAGCATGATATTTAACCCTTTCATTTTGTATACTGAACTAAGTTTGAGGAAGCAAAATACATGAAATATCTAATTTTATTCACATCCTCATTCTTGCTCAATACCAAAAATACTTTTCTTGGCAGTAGTATGATTAAATTAAGAGTAGGACAAATTTAGAAACTATGACAAATCTGGTGGTTGCGTAGAAGACGTCAGAGTGATTTGACATTATTGTATGTAGCCACAAGCTAACTGAAGATCAATACTGAAATAAATAAATCAAATTCACATTGAAAACAATATTTTATTTTATAAGCCACACAAGTGAAAAAAACATTTTTTGACCCCTGAATTAAATAACAGTCCCATAACTCCTTATTAACCTCCCTGAATACATGAGGTGATTGCTGTACAATAATAAGAGGGGGTGTTGGGAGGGATGAAACATCAACTGTAGCCCTTAGAGTCAATTAAATGGCAAACCGTATTCACACCATAAAAAAAGTCTCCATGACAAGAAAATGTTTGTTGGAAACATATATACGAGGTAGATTGAATAAGTAACACATAAAATCAATCTTGAATTATCATCTAGCTGTGCCTTTCACAGGTCAGAGCACATACAACTCCGTTAAATAAGTTTGGTACAGTTTTAATTTGTTTTATACAAAGAGGAAATAAAGGTACATCCTTTGAATCAAGGAACACAAACTACTACAAGTCTCGTAACCATCTACTACTTTATTAGGCCCATTGATCGAATGAAATATTTAAACATAAAAATAAATTAATGGAATAAAAAACACAAACAAGAACAAAGATAGTATATGGAAGACAATGCAATAAAAGTAACAATATAAAATTACTAAACTATTTATGACCTGTGTCTTTTTGCGCTAGAAACCAGAAACCGCTCTGTTGCAGTGGAGATCTGTTTGAAATGTTTGCTGGTGGAGGCGTACACATTTATATGTAATTCTAAGATATGTTAATTATTTGTAAGCAACAAACCATTAGCTACAAACAAATGCTCTCATGGAGTCTTCTCTTTTTTTGCCAATTAAATGTAAACAGTTTAATCTTACTCCCTTTTCTGGCAGTAGACACTTGTTAACCGAGCCTAAAATATTATGATCTCAAATGAAAGGAGTTCGTTTCAGCACCTTAAACACGATCAGGAAACTAGTTTGTGTTCATGAAGATGCATATCTGTAAATAGTATGATAAAGTCAGTTGGATGTGTCCCACTTGGGAAAAATACACAAAATTCAATGAAAGGCATACAGCCAAAACAAGCAGCGTTGTCGCTGCATCACATTGAAAAATGTTCTGTGTGTGTGTGTGTACACAAGTTATCCACTGTGATACAAATTGTTTTTTTGTTTTTTCATTTAACTGAGAATGGTAGAATGGCTAATGTATTTTTCCATTTAAGTAATGGAAAAAGGTACTTTGCATGCACCTAATGAGCACCGCACCAGACCTTGTGATCTTGACAGTGATGCAGAGGTTTCATTTGAGCATAGGCAACCAAAACTAAAAGTTGTATTTGTGATGCCCTGATATGATCTTCCACCTGCCTGGAAAACAAATAAAAAGAGGACCCCATCATAGGAAGCCAGATCTACGTGATGTAGAATACATTTCTCACCTGCATCTAGAACAGGACCTGGTGGTAAGCTTTTAGATAAAGGTCAACAGAACAGATTGGTTTCTCTGTCCAGTTAAAATAAAGTTTGTTTGAATTGGCAAGAGTAAAACAGTGTGGATAATAAACAAAAAGCCACACTCCATAACTGCAGCGAAAAATTGTTGTGTATGTTGCTGAATGAGCCGAGATATAACCTGCACGTACGTACATGAGGTTCAGATAAGGCACTCCAGGTGTTTGGCAACATATGGCAACTTCCATGGAGTACCAAGGCTGAATTTAAAATAAGACTAAAACATAGGTTGGTGGGGGGAGTAAACAATTATCTAGAGGGACTATTAAACACCATAAATAGAAAGGTTTTTCAGGTGAAGATAGAAAATGTATGACATTTGTCACTCTGGTGACTCCACTGCAAGTCCAACATGTGCATGGCGAATCGTTCGGCCATGCAGCTTGTACCCATCTTGCTTAATCATTGCCACCGTGCCAAGTGTTCTCCCCTCAGCAGGCACATGGCAAACCACTTCGTGGTCATAGGGGTCAAATGTACTCCCCATGGGGTTCATCTTCTCCAGTCCATGTTTCGTGAAGATGCTTTGCAGCTTTCCATCCACTTGTGACAGGACTTCAGTCATATCATTCAACCCATCTTTTGCTGCCTGTGCCACTGCATCCTCCACCAAATCTGCCAACTCCACCAGGTCTCTGCAGAAGCTCTGGATCCCTAGAAAAAAGGCAAAATTAGAAAAACTTGAAGATCAAGCAGCTCCAGAATTCATTATTGATAGAATTTAAACCATTGTATAGCTCAAACAAATTATATAGAGACACCAACAAAGATTTTTTGCAAAACATTCTCACTGCCATAATTAGGCAAGAGCACCACAATCTATGTTCCTACACATTATATAGGTTATTGTGTTTGCCATTAGCTCCATTTAACTTCATAGAAAAAATAATAATTACATTTGCTTTTTTACAGATTTCTCCTATTTACTTTTTTTATACACGTAATATATACATATATTTTAAAAGAAAGCACAAGAAAGACACATATTGACAAGATATATTGTGGTCAAGTAATGGGTACAGGAGACCAATATAGGTCTTCATTAGTTGAGCTTGTGTTGGCAAACAGCCTCCATTGCCTGGAACCAGGCCAATGTACTCTCAAAGTTTACATTCATAACTGTTTAGAACGGTCTGTAGAACATCTCTCCAGGAAAACCAAATAATACCATGGCTGTGACTTGACTGATAAATTTACTTCATTCTTAAACGGATTCTGCCGTGATTGACGTATACTGTTTATAGTGATAGAAACGCTCTTTATACATTGTGCAACAAGTCAAACAGCTGATAACAAATGTATACACGGTTAAAATAAATGTCTGCCAAGTATGCCAAACATATAGGCACCACAAAAATTACAAATAGGGCTGCCACAAAATAAAGAGCAAAGATGTGAACACAGATACATGCATCAATATCCAACTATCATTTTGAGAAGGCACATGCCATCAGGCAAAGATAAATTAAAATATACGATTTCTGGTAGATTTCAGTGGAACTATGAAGTTGACATAATCGTCATATTATGTGGTTGAAATTTATATGGCTAGATATAAAGGACAAAATTTAGTTAAAACAATCCAAAGCAGGTTTTAAAAGTGCTTGTTCTGGGGGGCGGGGCCTGACCTGCAAACTAGACGGTCGCATGGCAGAGGAGCTCCCAATGCCAAAGCGTTTTTTGGGGGATATACTCACTAAAAAGATGCCGGGGTACGCTACCCACGCTGGGGGCACCCTGGCGAATCGCCTGATATCGAACTCAAGTAATTCCCACAAGCACAAGCCTGAAGGGGCCCAAGGCGGCCCGCGGTGGATGGGGCTGGGGGGAGGCAGCCGCTCTCCTCGCCTCCACACTGGGCGCGCTGTGCCACTGATCACCCGCTCCCCCCCCACAGGACCGGCGGGGGTTATCCCGGTCCAACCCCGCCAGACGGAAGGGCTACGGCAGATGCGGATGGCGGAGCCTAACAAGCAGCTCCCAGCCGCACAGACCCACACAATGGCAAACGCCACGTGCGACTGCAATGGCGGCAGAGCGGAGACCGATGTCCTGAAAAGGCTAGACGCTATCTTCGACGCCTTTTGGGCACAACTAGCACTCAGAGAACGACAGGTCAACATACAAGAGACCTTACCCAGAGACGGACCCGCACGTGCTTGCCACAGCCACGCTGTTCCCCGCTCGGAGGCACCCACAAGATGGCGCCGCAGACGGAGACCTCACCCGCATACCCGCAAGTGTCTGACCAAAACAGCGCTGATAACCCGCAGGGACAAGCAGGTCCCACCTCATCCTCACACGGCACCAAACCCCGCCAGGCAACCTTCAAGAAGCAAACACCCATCAGGGCACCAGAACCTGTCAACGCCAAGGGGAGTTCCAGAATCCAGGACCAAAGCACCAACTACCTACAATAACACTACAGGTACCCACAGCGACAAGCGACCAGGCCCAGCATCGGACCTAGCGCAACTAAACTTTGCCTTATCCCAGCGGCCACAAAAACCAGCGACAAGATCCCTACCTATGCCCCAAAAGGACTGCCAAGTACCCCTATCAACATTCCCAATGCTGGGCATAGGTTGACAGCGAGCACTCAGGCTGGACTCTCAGAGGCACATACCCCAAACCTCTGCCACAACGGACACTGTGTTAACCACTCTGCAGCCTCCTAAACAGAGACCCACCTAACTGGAGACCTCTACGAGATAAGCCTATAATGCCTACAAGCCAATAAGCAAAATGCGTTTATATGTACCACGTATGTTTGGCAACGAGATATGCCATTGGGGACCATGGCGGAGTAACCTGTCGCAATGGTGTTTTACTCTTTCCTCCTGGCCCGTGCCATGTATTTACCCCTATGCTGTGCCATGAAGCAGAAACTGCATTTGCATAAGTGACAGGGTAGTGAGGGTGTCTCTGCAATGTCCTAGTACATCCTCGGGTGATATATTACGCAGTTGCCTAATACACCCAAGTCGTCACGGTATAATGAGGAATATTTAATCTAAATCACAGGCATTACTGTTCCTATTGTATTTATGACTGTTCCGCAGTTATATGCTTAATTACACTCATGTCCTTAACCTGTGTCCTACTCTCATGACACTCACTTAGCACATCTGGCATGCTACTCACCACGTCTAACATGCTTAGATTTCTAATCAACTTTAAACTGCTATAACTTACAAACAAACGTATGCATAGCTTGTTTATAATTTTATTATAAAAATGTGCCGATGTTTACATGCCATAAACGTGAAAAACTGTGTTCTAACTGTTCTTATGCATGCCGTTGTGGCATTGTTAAATGTTCTGTTACCTCCTGCACAATGAAAAATAAAGAATAAAAAAAAAAAAAAAAGTGCTTGTTCTGTGTACTAGCTTCCAATCAAAAATTATATCTGAAATCAAGCAATGTTAACTTTAATACATAAGTGTCCTATGTCTGATTTTTTTTCCTTACAAAAAAATTTACACTTTTTTTGTCTTTTAAAATAAATATCGTGTTGCTCAAGATAACTTGCAAACCTCATATAACTGTACATTTGTTCACATGTGCCATTCCTTAGAAAATGGCAGATGGATAGGGAAATAGAGTCAAAAACCAAAAAGGGGGTGCACTTCACATAAGTAAGGGATTGTGTAGTGTTTTAGGGAAGCGATGGAAGAACCACCACGAGGAACCATCATTTGACAGGTTGACTAACATTTTGGGAGATTTTTAGCAATCTTTTAAAAATTGTTCGTGAACCACGGTTTTGGTAATTCTTTAACTTCACTAAATGTAGAGCTCAGTTATGAATGGCAGAGTTAGAATATTTTGCTACAGACATGCGATGTAATCAGTCTGCTTACCAAACAGTTTTGCATCCATAACGTACTTCTGTGTTCTTTTCCGTACGTTTTCAGAGTCAGCCATGGCTATCCTGTGCCTCTCCTAGGAAAGGAAATGGTGATAGAAACCTTTAGAAAGGACCAATTCACAGTTCTAGAATTATAACAAAAACCACACAAAAGGTTGTCCAAATAATGATTGTTTTATTATTCCTATGTCCATGACCAATTTATTGTCTGTACTATGCATGTATCTAACTCAATTGACAATACAAGTGCTATTTACTACAAAACCTATTTAAATTAAAGATTGTCTTATAAATATTGATATGACATTACTGTAATCCTGAAGCTAGCAGATAATCATTTGCAGTTTGGTTACACTGTTACCAGAGGAATAACCTGAACAAACCGCAGAAGCCACACAGAGATATGGACACAAGTCTTCAGGAAGTAACAGGTCTTTTATTTACACACCGATCGGGTCTCACACGGAACATTGTTCAAAAGGTATGAGCCCAGAGCATAGTTTGCACAGGCTATTTATTAACAATAACTCCTCCCATTCATAGCTCCACTCACACATATCCTTAGACCAATCAGTGAACATGATATTCAGGATCACCTAATATGGGCAGACCATATGACTCCTTTTAAGGACAAAGTAATTTGACTACAGTTGATGCACATGCTCATTGATGACAGTATCTTAGCTACATATAACTAACTAAAAGATAAAAGATACAACAAACACCTGTACTTGTATATGCCACATGGAGATTTCAGGCCTACTAAATTTTGAACCACGTTGAAATCCCATTACAACACCAATAGCAATTATCAAACTGCAAAATCTTTTATTTCACACCGTCACCAGAACTTGTTAATTTATGTTACACTACAACATAAGACACTACGAACTGAAGTTTATATTAGAAATTTGATCCAAAAAACGTCTGTAGGTTTGCTGCCCTCCCAAGAGTCTGAGCTGAGAGTTCCACTAACATATATGAAGACTTAAGGGACACTACAGGCACCCAGACCACTGCATCTCAATGAAGTGGTCTGAGAGCCATGTCCCCACCGCTTTAACCCTGCAGGTGTAAACAATGCCATTCTACAGAACAGCTATGTTTGCAGGGTTTAAATGCCTCTAGAGGCTGTCACTTATGCAGCCACTAGAAAAGCTTCCCATGAAACAGAGTAAAACTAGACTGATTGGCGCAGCGCAAAGTTTTCATGTGCATGCACACTAGTCTGCCACTGCTTAAAGGGACACTATAGTCACCTGAACAACTTAAGCTTAATTAAGCAGTTTTGGTGTATAGAACATGCCCCCTTCAGCCTCACTGCTCAATCCTCTGCCATTTAGGAGTTAAATCCCTTTGTTTATGAACCCTAGTCACACCTCCCTGCATGTGACTTGCACAGCCTTCCATAAACACTTCCTGTAAAGACAGCCCTATTTAGGCTTTCTTTATTGCAATTTCTGTTTAATTAAGATTTTCTTATCCCCTGCTATGTTAATAGCTTGCTAGACCCTGCAAGAGCCTCCTGTATGTGATTAAAGTTCAATTTAGAGATTGAGATACAATTATTTGAGGTAAATTACATCTGTTTGAAAGTGAAAACAGTTTTTATTTCATGCAGGCTCTGTCAATCGTAGCCTGGGGAGGTGTGGCTAGGGCTGCATAAACAGAAACAAAGTGATTTAACTCCTAAATGACAGTGAATTGAGCAGTGAAATAGCAGGGGAATGATCTATACACTAAAACTACTTTATTTAGCTAAAGTAATTTAGGTGACTATAATGTTCCTTTAACTATGGAAAAGCATTGGATTGGCTTAGATCACAGGTTCCAATGATCTCCATTCCAATGAGCTTACCCATGGACACCGGAGCTGTGAGGGAGAAACGCAAGTAAAATACCTTTTTGACTATCTGCAGGTGGGGGGGGGGGGTGATGACCTAATGGCCAACAGGTCACTATAGCATTAGGAATACATATTATTCGTAACGTTATAGTGTTCCTCTAACATATGAAACCAAATCTGTTCCTAATAGAGTGAATTTCACAAGTGTTCTGACTCAAATGTAGGCTACTTATGCACCAGATTTACGATCTGAAAGTCTGAGTTTGGTAAATAAAACACCTATAATTCGGTAGAAGGGTGTAAATATTACTCACTTTTAAGTCTTGCACTTGTTCCTCAAGCTTCAGTGCTTTTCTCTCCAAGGACATCATGGCAAAGGACTTCATCTGATCCCCAGTAGTGCCGTCTCCAGTGGTAGTATGATCCCCAGCATATCTCTGCTGATTTGCTCCACTAAAGGCACACAAAAGATTCCTGTAACAAAAAGACATGATATCATTTTAACAGAGTTATAGATTTTTAAATCCACGTAAAACTTATAATTCACCGCCAAGAACAGCATTATACTATTTATTATCCACTCAAGAGATCACCAAAAAAAATGGGTGTGAAATCATTCAAAACAAAAGGTTTGATACAAAATAGAAATTATTATTTTTTTTTTTCAGGAAACCTCGTTTGTTTAAAATAAAGTGTCTCATTGGAAATACCCAGATTGTATTTTGCTTTTCTTCCCACTGATCTAAACCAAATTTTCTAAATTTAGTACATAGCTTCAGGGGATGAAAACAAAAAAAAAAAAAAAAATCCAACATGTAATTATGATTTTAGAAAGGTCTGTGCCAAGTATTGCAAATTAGGTTTTCAATTCACGGACTACTCAATCAAGCACAAAGATCGCTGACCAAGGTCACGAGGTCATCTACCCCATCCAGGTCAAATGATTAAGCATTTCCTATTAGAAGGAAGCTTTAAGAAAGAAACCAAATTTATTTATGTATAAACCAGTAGATAGCTTGGGGCAATCAGTTAGCCACAAGTCAGTAATCTGTCACTATCTTTGACAGCAGTTTCCTTTCTAAGAAAACTAAAGAGTTTAATGCCTGGTATTTGGCTGTGGATGAACATTCTGCAGTCTCCCATATATACATTAATAGGAGTTACCAAATTCTAAGTGGCATCTGGTTACCATGTTAAATTATACTTGCCCCTCCTATGAGTAAAAAGAAGGGCAAGTTAAGGATTGTAAACGCTCTCAATATAAAGAAGGGGGGCTTTCCCCAAAAGTATGGTGTACGCAGTTTTCAAAAACCACCTGTGAAATTTTGCAAGTCCGGTGTATGTAGACACTAAGGGGAACTTGATCAGCTGATCACAGGTGAATTTTTAGCAACATCTGAGCTGTTTTGTAAAATGGAGACCATACTGAGTAACCATTAATGCTGGTTTTATAGACGAACTCCAAAATCAGCTCTCACAGGATTATTCACTAAACGCCAAACTTTGTCCGGATGGACAAAATTCTGTGTAAATGACTGAAAAATTACTGAATTCTGACCACTACAGCAATTCTCATATTTACTAACGTTAAATACGGTCAGCCCAAGTGATTGTGCAGCAATCGCCTGGATTCATTTGGAGTCTGCATTAAAATCTGTGCTTTCACGTGGTTTCGAATTTTATGAAAACTGGTACTTTGTATAGGATTCAGAATAACCGCAAAGTAATGCTTCTAAAACACATGCATCAGGCATGATCGTTTATTTGCTTTTTTGCAAGTCAATGATAGTTTTAAATACCAACTGCCCTTTAGGAAGGGGTCTGTGAAAAAACAGGGTTTGTTTTTGTTTTTTAAAAATTTTCATTAGTTGCGTTGGGAATTATGAATTTTAATTTGATGATTTTTGGGGGCTGAAAGTTAGAAGGTTCCCCCTTAAATATGATAATTAGGGCTCCCACTTTACACCATTTGGTGGGGCAGGAAGGAGAGAACTAAGTCCCTTCCCTTGAATCTGATAATTAGGGCCCCTACCCACTTCCAATGTATTGCCCTTCCCTTATATTATAATACTAACCACTGCTGGGGACGAGGGGGACAACATTAGGTTGTCCACCCTTTTCTCTTATTAAATAGACAATGGCTGCCCAGTTGCAAGTTTCGAACAACTATATTGCCAGGAAAACAAACTCGTTTTCCTGGCTGAAGTTGGAGGAAGGGGTTAAACACTTACCTTTCTCCAGCGCCGGGGACTCTCCTCCTCCTTTGGATGTCATTAGCTGAATGCGCATGCGCGGCAAGAGCCGCGTGCGCATTCAGTCCGTCCATAGGAAAGCATTTTAAATGCTTTCCTATGGACGCTGGCGTCTTCTCACTGTGAAAATCACAGTGAGAAGCGCAGAAGTGCCTCTAGCGGCTGTCAATGAGACAGCCACTAGAGGCTGGATTAACACTAATGTAAACATAGCAGTTACATGTTAAAGTGAACCTGTCATGACAGTGTAAGTGGGTTTGAGTGGAGGTCACCTCATGTCACCTACTGTAGTATAGGCCAACATCATGAAGACCAAGTGGTGGAATTCATGTAGCCTGGAGTGTCAGTTCTTGGTTTAATTTTATTGTTAAAACAAACATGTCCCGTGCACATTGTGTGCCAGAGAAATGCAGCATTAACCGGTTATTAAAGGATTAGATGATAATGCTCTCCTCTGACTAAAGTCATAACAGTCAATTAAATGTTTTTTTTACGATGAGGGAGCAGCGGGTCACTTTATTTGAGATTAAGGCAATATTATCATTTGTCAGGACAGCACTTGCGTGTGGTTTTTCTAGTAGACTTACAGGAGCTCAGAGTAAAGACAAAGTGGTAGGTAGGTGTGTAATCCTGAAACTGGATGGATACTACGGGCTACATTCTATTATAAAAGAGGAGCATATAATGCAACAGCAATTACACTATAGAGGTTAACGGAAGAGCTGTTTAATTGCCAGAACATAGTTTTGTAATAGAATCTAGTCCTACATGAGTAGCACTGACTGTCAGCACAATGAATCAGCCCTTTATCCCACAGCAGTCGATAACCATCTGACTGATACTAAACTTCAGAAAAAGGGTTTTCTTACTTCACCCTGTCTGGACAGAAGTCAGAATAGGTATTACCGATGGTGCATGTACTTCACTGGCTTGAAGAGTTTAATAAAAGCACGCATCCAATTGTAAAATATGGGAGTTTATCATTCAAAGATTGCTATTAAAGTAGCACTGTCATTTTAGACTTTTTCAAAGAGATACAATCTCTGTCACAATATACACATGAGAACGCAATGAGTACTTTAGTTCATGTAGATCGGACCTACTAATTTTTGGGAAATGGCAATGGTAGAATGTGATTATAGACGCTCTGCCCATCAACCAAGCACTGAGAAACAGATGCCAATGGATTTTTTTTAAATAATCTTTTTCCAAATCTTTTTCAGCACAATTCTGACTGTTGCTACAGAATAGGCAAAATTTACAGGACCTAGGCAGGTTAGACTTCCCGGAAATAAAGATGGATATTGTAGTAAAAAGAACAGTAAATATATCTCCTTCGATACACTCCCTCCCCCACCACACAAGTGGACATATCACACAGAATTAGCTTTTTTTGTTCAAGTGAAAGTGCCACCTTAAAGAAAGATGATATGTCCAGGTATTTAAAAAAAAATAAAAAAAAAAACACTCATGTAAGACATCTGCTATCCAATGTGCTGTATTACAGCAGAATTCAGTTACTTTGATGTGCATCCCGTTAAGGAGTTGCGGGTTTTTCTTATGTAGCCGTTTTGTCACTCTAGAAGATAATGACAATCACCCAACCCCTATGTGAATGAGCAGACTAAAAAGACTCATTAAGGATTCAACACACTAGCTGTGTGTCAACAATAAGATGGTTGTCACCAGATGTTCTTAGACCACCAAGAATGTCAGCCATTAAAGTTGATGGGCAGAGCTTATGTAATTACCTATCTCTATAGATAAACAGCTGCCCCTCTGGAACACAGGAAATGATACACAACAAAATCCATTGTTTTGGCAAGGATACAGAGTCTACTTAAAGAGACACTACATGCACAGAGACTCATTTTAATGACACCATTTTATTATTATACTTTATAAAGTGCCAACACATTCTGCAGCGCTGTGCATGGATATAATTGGTACAAGTAAAAAGACAACAGGTACAATACATTCGATACAATACAAAACTTGACAAATAGTGCTTACAACAAAAACTGTATTTCACCTGCAAACACCTTCATGAACTATGCCAAACCAAACCTACAACTCACTAATATAAGCAACCTGACCTTAACACATGTTTATACTAAATGCAAGCAATAATAAAGGTATGACACCATAAGGCAGGCAATGCTTAATATATTCGTAAAACAAAAAATACTAAGACCATCAACATTGGGAAACAAGTGAGCCAAAAACTTGTCATTCTAAAATGCTACTTGGCAAAGTCAATCTGACATTTGAAAGAACTGAGGAAACAAAAAAGTGAATCGAGTCCATTTACTAGCAGTGCCGCCCCCTCCTTTTCTATTGTTTCCTGCATCTAAGCAGGGTGGCCAATTACCAGGAAAGCATCACATTGGGAGTGAAATTAAGCCAGAGATCATTAAGAAGTGTGCTTTCCCTTGAGTAGCTTGGCTTCATCATATGTGATAAATTAATAGGTCAAGGCCTAGATAGAAGAATAAATTTAAAGGGACACTATAGTCACCAGAACCACTACAGCTTAAAGTAGTGGTTCTGGTGTTTCCATTGCTGCCTAGTATCACCTCTAGGTGCAGTCACTCAGACGGCCACTAGAGGTGCTTCCTAGTTCAGTGCTGCACAGTGTCTCGACGCTCTGCATAATAACGCTGAACGTTCCTCAGAGATGCATTTATTTTGAAAGTGTTTTACCAGGAAGAATATATTGCGATTGCAGATCTTGGAGTGATCTGCAAGCAAGGAGGGCCTCTTGTATCCTTCCTGTTTATTGCAAAGATGACTGGAATAAATTGTAGTTTTGATTTCCATGCACACACAGCAAATGACATTTTCCTAAGATTATCTTTGGTGAGGACTGTTTAGATGTGGAAAATAATATAAATTAAAAAGGTAAATTCAACAGGAAAGAAAGCAGTTCAAATTACTGAATCCCATCAGTACATTTTCAATAGGAAAGCAGAAAACTTTTACAAACAAAACGAAAGCATAAATTAATAGCAGTAACTTCAGGACCAAAACACATTGGGTAGAGTTTTGTTTCTTTTTTTGGCCAGCACATCAACGATTTAGAATGCATCATTTGGCTTTTGTTGTAATTCTAGCGACAGAATCCCTCCCAACAACCAATTTCCCTTTCAATATACTCCTATCAATTACAGATGTGTAGACTGCATTGCTTAGGAGAGATATTGGCGTTAAGCATTTTTGGCACCACTCCAGCTAATCTAAAAGATGAACCTTAATTCTCAGTTTACATCTGCTTGTGCCGCTCACATTAGTTCTGTTAAACAGAGTCCCTCCTCTTTACTAGAAAATGTGATAAATCTTGCACTGGCAATAGCTACGTGAAAGAGAGATGGAACAGAATGGATTCTTAGTTAGAAATCCCTCCTCCCCTTAGCCCTACAATGTGTTCGTGCCTCTGCAGAGAGTTATGCGCTTCCTGATACTCAGGTAAAACAGCAATTCTGAAGAAGGAAAACAGCTGGGAGAAAGAGGGGGGACGAAACTCCCCACACTAGCACATATTACATGTGAGAGAAAAAATTATAAATGATATTAACCATTTAATTCTCACTGCCATACACTTGCAGACATGCAATGAAAAAGCAAGACGAGCCCTGTGTATAGCTGAAATAACAGTTTTAGTATAAATGCCTTGTTCTCTCTGATGGCTAACCTAAAGCAAAACCAGACACGACAGGAACAGTGAAGTCAGCAGTGTAACAAACCACAAAACCCAAACAAGTCAGCAGACCCATTTAAAAAAAAATTAAAAAAAATGAATGAATGCAGATTTACAGTACACATGAACACTAATTACAGACATGTCTGTGCTATATTTGCATATTCAAATGAGGTCCACAATGGATATATGTAACCCTTGTATCCATTTTAAACTCTGATGCACTTCAGCCTGTCCATGCTGTTAAAGAAAGCATTCAAAACATAAACCTAGGGTCACCTGTAGGCAAAATGCAGATACCCAGCAGGTGAACTGGTGGAGGATCTAACCTTCTGGCCAGGCTGGCAAAGCATCATGGTTGTTGTAGTTCTACAAAAAACATGAGATGTGTGACAGAACATTCCGTAAAAGGATGATTTCTGGCAAAGTGTAAGTTCCTGAAGTGAACTGGGAGTGCATGTCTGATGCAATACCAGTCTAACAGTAACTGCCATGGTTTATGGAAAGAAGAAAATGAAAAATAACTTCCTCAGTCCAGAGACATACTAAACACATGACAAGACTGCTTCAAATAAAATAGTCAATTTTTTACAAAGCCTTAGAGAAAATGCAAAGATCTGTCACAAATTAGAAACCTGCCCAGTAAGTAAAATGCTCTACTCTAGTGTGTATGCTTTAAAAAAATAAATAAAAAATCAATATGTTAAGTGTTTGAACACAAGTCTAGGTACATTGCTTTGATATAGAAATTTATCGTAGCAGTTATCTGTGCATTTTAGCACATAGCAAGGCTTCTTTCAGATAGTCGAAGGCAATATTTCTAAATCTGTTTTGGAGACCAAAATAGCCTCTCTGTATGAACTGGTCTGAAGACACTATAGCCTCAGTATCTGAGCTAGGGTAAAGCACAGCCTCAGTATGTGCCCACTACATGCTCTATGTATCAGTTACAATGAGGTGTCTACTCTATGATCTATGTATAACTTGGTGTGAAGCACAACCTCAGGATAGAGGTCCACTATCTGCTCTCTGTATTAGTTTAAAGACACAGCCACAGTATATGTGAATGATATGAAGATACAGCTGCAATATAAGACTAATTTAAATCTTGTGTATGAGGTGCTGAAGACAACTCAAGTATAGAAGTCTAACATAAGCTTTGTGTGTGGGCTGCTATTAATTACATCTTCTGTATTTTTGAGTGATATCTGTATGAAGTGCTGTGAGAATATACTTAATTTATCTGACTCAATCATAGTATATGCGTTGCTATGGAGACAGTGTCACTTTATATCTCTGAAACAATTACCTGACTGTTTTCATGGGTATGCTTTACCATGTCAAATTAAATTTGACTTTCATTTACAAGATGATTTAAAATACTCGAGTTGGTATCACCAGTTAACTTTAGTAATCATTTTTAATGTCTGCAAGATTCTACTCTGCAAAATCTACTACTCCAGGTATGGTTCATAATTTTTAGTCAGGTTACTGGCTCAGCGCCTAGAGTTGGTTTAGAAATTCCTATATAACAGAGTGAATTTTAGCAAAGCATAGTCTGTATAATTGAGAGAATATGCCATTTGTTATATTCAGTATTCTGCTATCTGATCCCTTGTGGACCATAATGCTTGGCAATGCCTGTAAGGTTTGTCAAGGATGGCATGCTCTTGGTTCTTCAGAATTTACCAGGAATTCCCCATGTAAGTTAGTCAGGAGAAACATTTTAATTTATTTTCTGCAATAAAGTTTGCACTTAGGCTCATATTCTCCATGTCATTTTGATGCTGGGTTTTCCAAATGTTTCAATTGCCAGTGAAAGATCTTTTTAGTCCACAGACCATTCGACCAGGTTTAACATTCCATGCAATACAACACTTAATACCAGAACAATAAGGAAAATCACTGAACATAAAGCCCCACTACTTCTTGCATGTGTTGATATTCACAGGGATTCTTCTAGGCATTTTCCTATCTGGACCTTCCAGACAATATATGGCTTTAAGCTGTGGAGCCATCCTGTATAATATAATAAGGTAGCCTGTTTGTGGCAAGTCTTTGGCTTATATATTTACATGGTCTCCTTACCTAGATCCACATAAGTGGCTTTCCTGACTTTCCATTGATGTCATATTTATGAATTATATGCTGGGATTGGTGTTAATATCTCTGCAGATAAAACAAGCTGCAAAAGGATATTAAAACTACCAAAGGCTCTGCTGTAAGACATTCATCACTATCTGAAGGTAAGGTCAGCGTAAGTATGTAGTTTTGTTCTCACAAGGACAATTTAATATCTTCAGTAATTCTGATTATTTAAGTGTGTTGCCACAATGGATCCAGAGCCACTGGTTACCACCTTCTCACGTATACTGCCTATAACATATTTCCTACTTATAATGATCAGCAGTCTAGTAATTTTAATTACTTACAGGCAGGTACTTTTGTGTTTTACCTGTACCTACAGGTAAGTAGCTTACAAGACAAGATGAAGTAGTGAGAATTCGGTCTTTAATAAATAAGCAATGGCAGAGCACATTTGAATATTCAGGTTAAGGTCTCCGGAAATAAATAGTTTACTTAAACAGTGCATTTTACAGTACAAAGGAGAACCCCAGACAATGGAAAGTGTCTAACAAAAGGCACATCCCAGACAGTATCTTAGCATATAGTAAATTATCAGTTTTGAGTGGGTCACTTAATACCACAAGTTAAAATGCATTTGCCCAATAAACAAATCATGTTAAGATAATGTAGCACCTCTCTCTATGAACCAGCCTCCACACAACTAAGCCATCTTATCTACTCTAAAAGGCAGACTGACTAAAACACTGGGCTACACCCAAAACGGTCTCCAAAACTGGGTGTGACAAGACTCAACTATAACTGTTCATCAATGAGAGCTGTACTAACAGCTGGTTAGCTGCAAATTACCAAAACAATCAAGAGTCTACATCAGTGATTAAGAACTTTGGCATTTCAGATATTCTACATTTTCCTTTATGCTCAACTGGTCTTAAATGGACACAATGCTCAACTAGAACCCATCACGTAGTGGTTATAGTGCAATGAGTCATCAAAGGAGTCCTCCTGTCTTCGGTCAAATCTTTTGAACAGTGACCAAAAATGGCTTCTCCTAGCACACAAAATGAGCCGCTCTGCACAAAACCAGATGATGTGGAAGTTTCACTTCTGAATTACCTGTATAAAATGATTCAACCAACACCATTAACACTTTTTACAGAACCCTACACACACACTAGGAAAGTTAAAATGCATAACATTTAAACTCGCAGTCCATTGAGCTACTTCAGCAAAAGCATTAATAACTAAGCATGCCTAGGCTTGAACAGATTTATGAAAATTAATGAATTTTGAGAAGCCTCTTACTTGTGCAATCAATGAATATTTATATTAAGCCAGACACTGAAAGATCTAGGCCATTTTCCTTGGGCAAGAAACATTTAAGGACAGCCTCAGCCTGTGCTTTTCTACACCCTTAGCGTGACAAGATCTTGTGGCAATAAATATTTAGTTATAAGGACAGGCAGCAGCAAGCACAATGTTCTCCATGGGAATAAATCACAAGCCACAAGGGACGGAGTAGCCCAAAAAAAAAAGAATTTCCATAGTAACAAGATAAAGAAACCCATGACAATGGGAGATTCAGAGTGAAAAGAATGTTGCCGATGTTTGAATTGTTATTTCAATTAACTGTAAAATGCTAATTAGCATTCCACTTGAGGAAAGTAATTAACTTTTTTAGTCAGATTTTAAGTACAGTGGGAGTGATATTAGCATACTATGGGGGCATCAATTAGCATGATAAGTGTACATACACCGTTCTTCCAATGGTATAAGTGAGGATCGATTGTATTCTGCTACAATACATACAACCAAGTCACTCTCAATGTTATAACTGTTTCTATGTGCAGAAAAATGCCTTAGCAGCTAATGGTGAAGTATTCACACACTAAGCATGTTATTTCAGAGACCAAATTGATAATATTTAGCAGTGTCCTTCACATACTTGTTACATCCCAAAGCTATAAAATAGCAAGAAGGTTAACAGAAAAAATGCTGTGAGGTGATAAATTGTTAAAGACCGTTCTAGGAAGAATTCTTTAAATGCCTAGAGAGACACATTTCTCTGTTGCCCATGGTTACAGCAATTGTCCGGATGCTGTTTAGTTGGGGATGGCATTTTTATTGTTAATTAACTTAAGGGGGATCTGGAGGTCTCTGATGTGAGCTATCAGGACACTAGGAACTGCAAATTTAACCGATCATAATAAATAATACAAATACATTAATGTAAAAGACTTCATGTATATTGGTTGGTCCCTAGGATTAGTTCCCCAGTGCTGAACGTGTATCTAGGGAGGGTTTTTTCTTTCCTTTTGTTAATGAGTTGTACCCCACTACGGAGTTCTCCCATCATATTAAAGTATAAAGTTATATTTTACCAACTAATGACCTCTCAGTAGCTACAATAATACATTCAATCAGTTAATTTCTGCCTATGGACTAAATAGGTCTGGGGCTCCTCTTACCCAACGTTCCATGGAAATAAACAAATGGTAAAAGTTTGGAACCAAAATACATTGTATCGATAGAAAACTAATCCTCCGCTCACCCTCCAAATATGCAGAGACACAAAATCCACTCTACTCATGTTTACAGTAAGTTTCATTTTCAGATCTCCAACACATCGCAAACTACAGTGCAGCCAGAAACCAACATAACCTTGCAGGTTACATAAACAAGCATGCATACCCCAAAACACAAGTGAAGACCACAACCAGCCCCCCAAATGACTAACTTCTGCTCCCTTGTCAATTCACACACTGCACTGGCTGGTCTGTATACAGTGCCATCACAAGCAGAGGTTGGGGGCAAGAAATGGGGAAAGGAGGGGGGTCGCTGATGGGACCCTAGATAACACACCCCTCTCTAAATATTAAAGCAAGGTGCACTGGGTGGGAAATAAACATCGTATTAGTGTTTGCTGACCCCTGGCAGAGTTGCTCTCCTGGGCCAAGGCTCCAAAGATGCTCAGTCAGCTATTGGCTGTGCCAAATGGGAGTTGTGGTGAAAAAAAATTATATATTTTATCTGGCCCTTCCCATACACAAAAATACATGAAATGCATGCTCCCACTGCCACTATGTGACAACCATGTATTTGGAAACCAATGTCCCATTATAGTTTTTTTTTATATTAGCAAATGAAAGCATGTGCCATGTGAGCTCTTACCTGCCCTTCCTGGAGCTGTATGTAAGCAGCACACCGAGCTGGTCCGCCGCAGCCCTGGTCCTAACCCGTGATAAGAACATCTTTAATCCTTCTCACTAGCTGTGCGGGGCCGCGCATGCACCGAGCTTTACTACTGCTGGCCGGCCCTCCCCTCTCCGGGGGCAGCCAATAGGGACAGGGGGTGGAACTACAACTCCCGGCAGGCAGTGCGGCTGCCCTCTGCTGTTTACTGTAGTGTCACGAGTTGGGGGGGGGGAGGAGGCTGGGTGGGCAGGAAGGTCAAATAGTGATCACAGTGTAATAGGCAGGTCAATTGTTCATCAGAAGTCTGTCACCATATGTCAGAGTAATATGTAGAGCAGTCATGGTGTGTATACAATGGCCTAGTTAACTAAACTGGGAATTTGTGGAGATATGATAAGGGAAGTGCACAATTTATTCTCCCCCCAACCCTAATAAAAAATAAAATAGAATCCTACAGGGGGAAAAACTGAGCAACTTTTACAGTTTTCGGGCATTTTCCAAAAATATGCAATTGCTTTGTATAATGTCTTCAATTCCCAGTTTGGCAAATAGTAAGTGATAGTACATCAGAATATATTTTTATTACTAATAGTTAAAATTAATAGTTACGGTGATGAGCAATTCCTTTTTTTGTATCTCACATAAGTAATTATTTCATACAGATATTTTGATTACTGATATAAATCAGGCCCTAATAAACAACATCCGGATGACAAAATGCAGTGAAAATGAGATTTGGAATTTGTTAGACGTACTGCTACATATATTAGACCTGACAATTTCCAGGAACGGGGGATTGTGAGGCATACCATTCAACATCACCGTCAGCATGCCCACTTATAAAGGCACAAGTGTCACAGAGTGGCCAATCTTTACTGCCCCAGAGATGGCAGGTGATTTTAAATATGGTGGGTAACTGTCCCTTTACTTATTGGGCTCTAACCTATTTAAAGAGACTGAAAATAGTCCAGAAAAGCTTTGTGTGAAGGGTGTCTTCTTTTTGTCATTTTACAAAAAGTGCAGATTTCAATACAAATTCGCCCGTTTATAAATTAACCTTGGTACACCTCCTGGCTCTCAAGCAGATAGCAGGTCTGGGCTGGGAAAGAAGGGGAGGGCTTGCAAAGGGTTTTATAAGTGGGTCTGCAGCCTTTGCAAGCTGTTTTTAGATATACCCGCAATGGAAAAAAAAGGCATAATTAAATGCATGCATGTTTTCATTTGGAATATATCTACAAAACAGTGATTTGTATTTATTTTGTATTTCAGTTGTAGAGTGTCCCTTTAACCTCATATACTCAACCCATGACCCAGTGAGATATCATGCCCTACTCATCAACGTAGACCGATAGATACGCAAATTAGGGAAACAACACCCACTCCATCCTCCAATCCTCAATGTACTTTGACCAGCCTACTGACACAGAGTTTTTTCAGTAAACTAAAATAAAGAACAACGCAAGTCTCAATAAGAAAGAACATGTGTGCTAATGTACATAGCTCCATACGCGAAGAACCATCGAATATCAGCGGTTTAATATCAGGATAACTCACGTAAATAACTGCTGCTTGGTAAAATTATTTGTTTCTTCGCCACTCATATACCCGGAACCGCGATGAAATCATGGAGAGTGCCTATCTTTATTCTAGCCCAACATAACAGTACTCCATTACCTACTCCCCAGAATTCTTTCAGATCTTCATCAATATGACCACATGAGTGCCATACTATCTTTGGGGGTAGACACATTCCCACTGCTACTCAAAATTATACCCCAAGATTGCTCCCACTTGTGTGTATGTTCCGCACTTATTAGGTTTTAAGAATGGCTAAAAAGGGAGCTGTTTTTGTATCTGCCTCTCTCTGAATTTACAGGTGGACATCTATCGTACCCGTATCCTCCAAATGCTCCAAGTCACAACTCCACCATTCCGAGAGAAAAGCAGATTTTCTTATTTTTTTTTTATTCAATGGATTTTAAAAAAAATTTAAAAAATCAATAGATTTATTTTTGATCAATGGATTTTTTCTTATCCATTAATCAGTAAGTTTGTTGACATGAGGCACATCTTGCTAAATTTAGAGTAAATCGTTTGTGCTGGCAGAACCGCACACAATACAGCCTTATTTGGGTTTAAATTTTGCAAGTTGGCACCCCCCACCCCAACAGATCTTGAACAGGCCTACCTAACAGGGAACCCAAGTTCCACCCACTTCCGAACGCTGTGCTCGGCTTGCCAAGTCATATAACTTGACCAACACACCGCCAACAACACAGAAGCCGCTGAAACCACAACAAGTGGCTGCCTCCTAATACCTACCCCATCCAGCAGGCAACCTGCACTAAGGAAAAGCACCACATAGCTGAAAATACCTACTGCATAACCTACAATGCATACTATGTACATCTAGGGCCGGATTAACATAGGGGCTGATGGAGCTGCAGCTCCAGGCCCAGGCCCAGGCCCAGGCCCATGGAATAGGCCCATTTAAAAAAAAAAATAAAAAAAAAAAATTTTTTTTTTCTTTTTTAAAAAACACACTACTCTTAGGTTTGCCACCTGACTGGTAATTTAATGGCACAGACGGTATTTGAGGCTGCCTGGCCGTGCCGGTATTGCAGTAATACCGGCAATACAAATGCAGGTAATTTTCTCAGAATAAATGGAAATTACTCTGCAATACCAGCACCGGCCAGTAGGGGTCACTGTGTGTGTTGAGAGGCAGGGATAGGAAGTTACAGAATATCCCTGCCTCTCTCTACTCACTGATCCGTGGGGGAGCAGCTACACAGCACAGAGAGTCCAGACAGCAGCTCTACAGCTCAGGTAAGTGAGGGATGGGGGGAAAGGCAGCAGGGACACATGGGGACACTGAGACACTAGGTGACACATGGGGACACTAAGACAGTAGGGGACACATGGGGACACTGACACTAGGTGACATATGGGGACACTGAGACACTTGAGGACTCAGACACTAGGGGACACATGATGACACATACACTAGGGGACACTGAGACACTAGGACACAGACACTGGGAGACCTGGGAACACTGAGACACTTGGGGACACTGGAAAATATGGGGACACTGAGACACTAGGGGACACTGAAACACTTGGGGACACAGACACTAGGGGACACATCTGGACACAGACACTAGGGGACACTGAGACACTAGGACACATGGGGACACAGACACCTGGAGACCTGGGGACACAGACACTTGGGGACACTGGAAAACATGGGGACACTGAGACACTAGGGGACACTGGGACACATGGGGATGCTGAGACACATGGGGACGCTGTGAGACATAGGGAAATTGGGAGACATTGGGACACGGAGACACTATGTCCCCCAGCCAGTGTCCCTAGTGTCTCAGTGTCCCCAAGTCTCCCAGTGTCTGTGTCCCATGTCTCTCAGTGTGCCAAGTGTCCCCATGTGTCCCAGTGTCCCCATGTCTATGTCCACAACTGTCCCCATGTCTCCCCAAGTGTCTGTCTCCCAGCCAGTGTCCCCTAGTCTCCCAGTATCCCCTAGTCTCCCAGTATCCGCTAGTCTCCCAGTGTCCCCTAGTCTCCCAGTCTCTGTGTCCCTAGTGTCTTAGTGTCCCCAAATGTTTCAGTATCTCCATGTCTCCCAGTGTCTGTGTTCCTAGTGTCTCAGTGTGCCTGGTGCCCCCATGTCTCCCAGTGTCCCTATATGTCCCAGTGTCCACATGTCTATGTCCACAACTGTCCCCATGTCTCCCAGTGTCCCCAAGTGTCTGTCTCCCAGTGTCCCCTAGTCTCCCAGTGTCCCCTAGTCTCCCAGTGTCTGTGTTCCCATGTCTGTGTCCCTGGTGTCTTAGTGTCCCCAAATGTTTCAGTGTCCCCATGTCTTCTAGTGTCTCAGTGTCCCCATTTCTCCCAGTTTCCCTAAATGTCTCAGTGTCCCCGGGTCTCTCAGTGTCCCCATGTCTCTCAGTGTCCCCAGTATCTTAGTGACATGGGGACACACTGAGACATTGGGACACTGGGAGAAATGGGGACACAGACACTGGGAGACTAGGGGACTGGGCGACATGGGGACACTGACACTGTGATACATAGGGACACTGAGACACTGGGTGACTTGCGAGACTGAGACACTGGGAGACAGGGAGACACTGGGAGCAATCCATCTATACAGCAGAATCAAACTGTGAGTAGTTTGTTGGTGATTTTACAGAATTTTCTCTGATGTCACTCCTTGTGATTTACATCATGTGATGTCACGCATAACTAATTAATTATACAAATGATTAAGGCTGGTATTTTTTTCCAAGAAAGGTGGCAACCTTAACTACTCTTCACATACTCTTGCTTAAAGGAGCACTATAGTGTCAGGAACACAATCATGTGTTTCTTACCCTATTATGTTAAAACCACCACCCTGGCCCCTTCTTGTCTCCCTAAATATAGTAAAATATTACTTGTATTCAATTCTGCAGCTGCTGGCTCAGAAGTGGTGGTCTGAGCAAATTGCAATACTTCCCCATAGGATTGGCTGAGACTGTCAACTAGGCAGATCAGGGGCAGAGCCAGACCCTCAGCATCTCCTCATAAAGATAAATTGAATCAATGCATCTCTATGAGGAACGTTCAGTGTCTGCATGCAGAGGGTGGAGACACTAAATGGCAGTGCTGCACACTAGGCAGTACTGCCCCAGGAAGCACCTCTAGCAGCCATCTAAGAAGCTGCCAGTGGAGTTATTTTCTCTGAAAAGACAGTGTTTACTGCAAAAAGCCTGAATGGAATGATTCTACTTACCAGAACAAATACAATAAGCTGTAGTTGTTCTGGTGACTATAGTGTCCCTTTAAGTTTGGAAGCTTAAGAGGGATGTATGGAAACAAAACTTGTGTGCACTGGTTGACATTAAAGTTAGTTTAGGTAATGCAGACGTTGGTCTCTCTAACAATGTGGCATGTCCCCTTTCTTCTACACTCACTGCAGACACCTTTTCTCTGTCTCAGACTATATACCAGGAACTTCTGCCTGCTAGTAAGAAGGTAAGGAGACAAGTGGACCAGCGAGTGCTAGGGGACAGTCCTTAGAAAAAATGGAGCTCAAGGTGCTTCCTGCATAGTATGCCCTTAGTTGGACAGC